TGCAATAAACTTAAACTTAACTTAAACAATAATAGATTTGGAAGGGACCTTGGAGGTCTTCTAGTCCAATCCCCTGCTCAGTCAGGATACCCTATATCATTCTGGACAAATGATTGTCCAGTCTCTTCTTAAAAATTTTCAGTGATGGAGCAATCACAGTTCTGAAGGCAAGCCATTCCATTGGTTAACTGTTCTCCTTAGTTCTAGTTTGGTTCTCTCGTTGATTAGTTTCCATCCGTTGCTTCTTGTCCTACCTTCAGGTGCTTTGGAAAATAGGTTGACCCCCTCTTCTTTGTGGGAACCCCTCAAATATTGGAACACTGCTAATATGTCGCCCTCCTAGTCCTTTTTTTCTCTAGACTAGCCTTCTGAAGAAGGAAAGAATGCTGAAGCACACATTTGATATAGTAACCGCGCAAATGGGAACCATGTCAACACTGCTAACGTCGGATGGTCTTACTTTGACAACAGATGGAAATGCAGCCATTTTCTCTATTGCTTTTAGAATTAGTTGCTGCTGGGAGGGGAATAGGGATGAGAGTCCAGCTAATCATAACAATAATAACTTAGCTGTGGGAACCCAAGGACATTGGGCCCAGAGCGGATAGTGTTTTGGCAGGCTGGAGAGCTGGGGAGAAAGCCCTCACTTCAAGCTAATTGGGGGATGTGATTTATGACTGTTTATTGAAGGAGAGAATTGCACTTTGTAATGATGTATAGTAGATATCTAAGGCAGACATGTCAAACTTGCGATATCACATGACGTTGCGTGACGTATCAGAGCCTTTTCCCCTGATGCCGGCAATGGGGTGGGTGCGGTTTCATCATGACGTGTCCGGCCCATGGGCCGGCAGTTTGACACCCCTGGTCTAAGGTATCTTCTTCCCAAGCAACTGAGCAATTCTACCTTTCAATCAGAATAGAGCTGGAAGGTCTTCTAGTCTTCAAGTCTTCTAGTCCAAACCCCTGGTCAAGCAGGAGACCCTATACCATTTCAGATAGGTGGCTGTCCAATCTAAAAACTTCCAGTGATGAAACCTCTACAACTTCTGAAGGCAAAGCTGTTCCACCGATTAATTGTCCTCACTGTTTGGAAGTTTCTCCTTAGTTCCAGGTTGCTTCTCTCCTTGATTAGATTCCATCCATTGTTTCTTGTCCTGCCTTCAGGGGCTTTGGAAATTTAGCTGACCTCCTCTTCTTTGTGGCAGCACCTCAAATACTGGGATACTGTGATCATGTCACCCCTAGTCCTTTTTTTCTCTAGATTGACCATACCCAATTCCTGCAACTGTTCTTCATATGTTTTTGTCTCCAGGCCTTTAATCATCTTAGTTGCTTTTCTTTGCACTTTTTTCCAAAGTCTCAACATCTTTTTTGTACTGTGGTGACCAAAACTGGATGCAGTATTCCAGGTGTGGCCTTACTAAGGCTTTATAAACCGGTACTAATGCCTCAGGTGATTTTGATTCTATGCCTCTGTTTTTGCAACCAAGGATTGTATTAGCTTGTTTGGCTGCTGCCGCACATGGCTGGCTCATGTTTAGGTGATCGTCAACTAGGACTGCAAGATCCCTCTCACAGTTACTGTTTTTGAGCCAGGTTTCACCTACTCTGTACTTGTGCCTTTGGTTTTTCCTGCCTAGGTGTAAAAGCTTGCTTTTCTTCACATTAAATTTCATGTTGTTAGATAGGGCCCATTGTTCACCCTTTTTCTCTTTCTGCTCCACAATAATAACGTTCCTATGGGATAGATAGTCAAAATCTTGGAGTGGAGTTTGAATGTCCAGAGTATCCAGAATCAGGGAGTAATGGCACTTTTTCCAGCCTCACCACTAGGTCTAGTTGACTCTCAGATTTCCCTGCTATCTCATCTTGTCCTCAAGACCAAGCTAGGATAACATGTACCACGGCTGCCTTGTGTCCTGAGCTGGAGATGTCCCAATGGAGAAACAACTGCTGTTTCCTGTTGTACACTTTGTCCATTACAGCACATTTTGAAAACTGCGAAGATTTATTAATTGCACCCAGCAGCTGTTGCTCCTCTTAATTTAACTTGTCTCCCATCTTTTTAATGCGCATAATCCTCCTTTTAATGGGTCTCAATGTGTTAATTGGTTCCTCTTTGTACTTTTCACAGGTGATCTGAGGCCAGTTTCTATGCCAACAGAATACAGCTGGATAGGAGATTCAAAAGAGCCAAACATGTACAAGAGAGGTAGCCGCGGTGAGTGTCTTTCTCGCCCAATACAGTCAAATAAAAGACCTTAAAAGGACTCTATTTCCTTCAAACTAGCTCATCGTTTCTGGTGAACCAAATAACCCAAGTTCATCGTGTCATTTTTTTTCCCCTTGAGCATTTATTAGGATGCAGCTGTATCATTTCAAACCATCTCTTAGCTCCAAAGATGCCAGGGCTACCTCAATACTCTAGTCTTGATCCAACTCACTCAATGTGGTAACTTGAGATGAAAGGCTACTTTCCCGATAAAGGAGAATATTTGTAGCTCAGAGTTCAAATTATGGGTCCTTGATGCTCTCTGAACTTTGTTGTTTTCTTGCAGACGTTTCATGACCCAAACTAGGTAACGTCTGATGATGCTACCTAGTTTGAATAATGAAACATTTGCAAGAAAACAACCAAGCTCAGAGAGCACCAAGGACCCCCCAGGCTATTTTCCAGCAAGAGGGATAAAGGGGTAGCTGTATATTCCTGATTTGCATGTAATTGGTCTTATTGGCCTGCCAGCAAATTTCTGCAAATGAAAATCACATTTATTTTTCTTCACATTTATTTTCATAATATGTACATTCTGCATTGCTCCTTCCTCAATATGCACATTTTTGTAAGCAATTTCCTAAAGTATATGGAAAGGTAGATCCCACTGCTGTGTTTAGACATGCACAGAATCTGATGAATATGTGGGTGCTAAAAGAAGTCTTCTTCCAGGGGAGACTGAAAAAAGGGGGATTTGATGAATTCACTTAAAAAAGGGGGATTTGATGAATTCACTTAAAATGAGGGCCCCAACATATTTCTCTGACATCCCTACCTCATAAACACTGATTAAGAAATGAGCCAAAGTAACTAATGAAAAATATCCAATAATCTGTCCTCTCCTGCATGTTGTTGCTTCTCTATATACCATTTCTAATCCAGGGTCCTTGAACTTCTTCAGATGCTGTGTCCATCATCTTAAATTCATGGTAATCTTTAGTTAAGGTGAACTTCAGCAGTAGTTCATTGATGATATTATGATGTTTTGGAGACTCTATCACTCTATCTATGCTGCTGTTATTTCTCCTAGAAAAGTTCTGAAGTCATATTTTGTAATCATTGTGCTCCACAAAAGTTGGAGTGTATAAAAAGGATTGAGTTGCTCAAAACATACAGTTCTAGATATGACCCTCCCTTGAGCAAACTCTAGTGACTTGTCCACCATCTGATACCCATTTTACCAAGGTTTCTTTATTCATATTTAAGCCCCCTCTTCACCTCTTACAACTCCTAAAATCTTTCCAGAAAATTGGCATTGGCTCTGCCTGTTTTTGAAATATGGCTTTCAATGTGTCCTCCAAAACATGTGTTGATCCTCAAGCCAACTGTAGCTGGGTTCCTATGCCGAAAAACATGGCTGATTTGAACTATGTTATGCTGGAGACAATCCATCTAACAGTGTGACTCATGAAGCCTGCTTGCTTTTGCACAGTTTGAGCTTCTGATCCCTTTGTAGACACTGGAAAAGAGGACTTACAAGTCCAGGGGGGAAGGAGGCATAAGGACAAAGATGGATCTCCTCTTTAGCTCTCATTTTCTCCTTTTTCTCCTTTCTCGCTCTGACAAAAGATTCTGAGAACTCACTCCTACGATACCTGAGTGATGACAAGATCTTAGTGATCCAAGAAGAACCAGTGACCCAAAAAGATAACAAGCGGGATACAGGCCGGCGGTCCAGGAAGAAGGGCAAGAATGGTGGAAGTCCTAATTATCCTGTTAGCTCCTCCGTGATGACTTCGTCTACTAATGTACGGCTTGAACCCGGACAGCAGGATGTCCTAAATTTCTCCTTAGCTGAGAGCAACACCGTCCCCCTCTATCACGTAAGCTCTTTGATGCTTTTCGTTAAAACTAAGAAAAACATTCGGTCTTCTTAATGTTGACATTGAGTCACAGGGACTGCTTGGGTTTTCTTGGCAATTGGATGGATTGTCTTCTTCTGTGATTTTTTTTTCAACTGTACTTTTGCGATATCTCAGTGGACTCAGGTCCTATTCTACCTGTTTTTGTTTTGTTTCAAGATCAGCTGGATACTGGCAATTTCTGAGATTAGGAAGGTAGAAAACATTGTTGTGATCATTATTATTACTAATAACACTACTGCTACTGTTTGACATACAGTTGGGTCCTTAGAATAATGGCGATGGTGGTGATGGTGATGATGATGGTGATGATGGTGAAGATGGTGACGATGGCGATGGTGGGGATGGTGATGATGCTGGTGATGATGATGGTGGTGATGGTGATGATGATGGTGATGATGATGGTGGTGACGATGGTGACAATGGCGATGGTGGTGATGATGATGGTGATGGCGATGGTGGTGATGATGATGGTGATGGTGATGTTCGTGATGATGGTGATGATGGAGACGATGGCGATGGTGGTGATGGTAATGGTGATGGTGATGATGCTGGTGACGATAGCGATGATGGTGATGGTGATGATGATGGGGATGATGGTATGATGGTGATGGTGGTGATGGTGATGATGGTGATGGTGGTGATAGTGGTGGTGATGGTGATGATGAAGGTGATGATGATGGTAGTGATGATGAAGGTGATGATGAGGGAGACGATGATGGTGGTGGTGTCAGTGATGATGGTGATGATGATGGTGGTGATGATGATGGTGGTGGTGGTGGTGGTGGTGGTGGTGATGTACCCTCAAGTCATTTTCTTTACATTAGAGTAGGTGAGTTGCCAATTAGAAAGTAAGAAGCCGAGCCATTGTGCAAAAAGAGAGCTCAGTCCTTATAAAGGGGGGGGACATTGAAAGAATTTCAGAAGAGACCTCCCCTAGTTATGGCAGAGTGAAAGAGAGGGAAGAAGTATTTTCAGATTTGCAAGATTCTGACATGTAACCTTACAATGAAAGTAGTGTTAGCATTCATGGTTAGTGCTTCTTGTCTAGACTACCTCAAAGTGCTAATATGGGCAAGGAAAGTGAATCATGGGGTCATTAAGTGAATCATGGGGTCGTTAAGCATCACCTGTTTCCTCTATTGACTTTGTTTGTTGGAAGTCAGCATGGAAGGTCACAAATCATGACCACAAGGTGCCATCATAAATGCAAGCTGGTTGCTAAGTGCCTGAATTGCAATTGTGTGACCGCAGGGGTGGTGCAACCGTCATAACTTTGAGGATGGGTCATTAGTCACCTTTTCTGAGACCGTCATAACTTCAAACCATTGTTAAACAAACGGTCATAATTCAAGGGCTACCTGTAAATCAGTAATTGATACAGTTGAAGCAAAACCGTGGCTGTGAGTTGGTTGTTTACCCAGATCAGGGTAGGCAACCTTGGCTCTTTTATGACTCATGGACTTCAACTCCCAGAATTCCTGAGCCAGCCACGCTGAGGGGAAAGGGAGAGGTTTCCAAGCTGAGCCATGCTGACTCAGGAATTCTGGGAGTTGAAGTCCACGAGTCATAAAAGAGCCAAGGTTGCCTACCCCTGACCTAGATGGCAGTTACTAAGAGAAATATCAGCTTAAAAAGCTCTCTCTATTCCAGCAGAATTTCTTTCTTTTTTTTCCCCTGGTTTTTGTTCACAGCAGGACCTGTTTGGAAATTACTGTTTTCATTACAGCTCCAGCAAGAAATATACTGCAGGTAGCCAAACCTGGATGATAACATAATGGGGAAATGCACCAAGGAAATAAAATTTAGCTGCTCGTTTATGTGAGCGGCCATTGAGTGCATTTGGAAAATCAGGGCATTTCACTTTTATGGCAAGAAAGACTAAAATAGCAATTTAGCTGGCATGCCGCATATAATGTCTAAAATCCATTTTTACTGCGAATTCCGTGGAGCTATTGTAGTTTGAAACTTGGTACAACCAATAAGCCATAACCAGATTAGATCTATGTGGATGCAGCTCTGGAGAGCGTTTCCTTGTTATAATGCGCGCCGATGGAACAAGCAGATATATTTCCACAGGTTAATGAGTGAAAAAATTTTCCAAGTCGCTCTTCTGCCATTTTTCATTTTTGTTGACTCTGATTTGAGTCTCTTCTGTTTCTCTAATCTGCTTCCTCTCCACTTGATGAAACGGTGCGTCAATTTCCATTCCAGAGCTTCCCAAGATGTTACCTACAGCTCCACGCACAAACACAAAAAATATAGAATTAAACATAATCCGAGCTGTATCCTCCCAACTGCCCTTTGTCCTACTACAGCTAGCCCTCGACTTACCACGGTTCATTTAGTGACCGCTGAGAGTTAAAACAGCTGTTAAAAAGGGACTTAGGATCATTTTTCATACTAATGACCGATGAAGCACCCCTATGGTCACGTGATCAAAATTCAGACACTTGGCAACTGACTCGCATGTATGACAGTTGCACTGCTTTGAGGTCAACTTGTACTCTTTTGTGCCCTTCTGGCAAGCAACGTCAATGGGAAAGCCAGATTGTGCCAAAAAAAGGCCTTTTCTTCTGTTTTTTCTGCAAAACCATGCCTATACTGTACAATTTGTTCACTTAAGAACTGCAGCCTTTGCTTAATGACTGTGGGTTCACTTAAGGATGTGGTGATTTACTTAAGGACCGGTGCAATAAAGCGTGTAGCCAGGGGGTTTTCACACTTACGACTGTTGCATCATCCCCAAGGTCACGATGCTTGACAGCTGGTTCATATTTATGACAGTTGCAGTCATGTGAACTTTCACCTTCAGAAGAGAAGAGCGATAGAATATCATGGTCTGTAGAGCAGTCTCCCCACAGAAAGGCCAAATGGGTGGCTGAAGGTCCAGACATAGGAAGACATGTAAAGGACTCCATGCAAAAGATGCCAGGCTTTGAACTACCATGCCAGCAATAGACAATCCCAAATAGGATTTGCACTTCACAAGGTGTCTACCAGTATTCACTGTATAAAGGGGGCAGCGTATCCTCCCCTCAGTCTGACTGCAGGATCTGGGGTGGCACAGTAGAATGCAGTATTGCAGGCTGACTTTACTCGCTGCCAGTAGTTCAATCCTGACCGGCTCAAGACTCAGAGTTTCATCCTTTCAAGGTCAGTAAAATGAGGACCCAGATTGTTGGGGGCAATATACCGACTCTGTGAACTGCTTAGAGAGGGTGTAAAGTGCTATAAAGCGGTATATAAGTCTAAGTGTTATTGCTATTACGGTAGGAGCCCTGGTGGTGCAGTGGGTAAAGTGCAGTATTGCAGGCAAACTCTGCCCACAGTCTGGAGTTCAATCCTGATGAGTTTGAAGTTGACTCAGCCTTCCATCCTTCTGAGGTCAGTAAAATGAGGATCCAGATTGTTGGGTACAATAAACTGACACTGTAAACCGCTTAGAAGATACTGTAAAGCACTGTGAAGCGGTATATAAGTCTAAGTGCTATTGTTGTTGCTATTGCTATCCCACGTCAAACTGTAGATCACATTGTGACTGGCTGTAAACAGAAGGCACACACCAGTCCAGTATCTGATTTTTTTCCCCCATATAAACAATGTTGCCCTTTAATGGTTAGTTGGCCTAGACAGCGTTATCTGAATATAGATCTTTTGAACATTCAAATTTTATTGTTTTTAAAAATCTAGGCGAAATGTTAACATATATTACAAGTCCATGTACGATATGCCATAGGCTAAATAAATAAGCAAGCAGTGTCACTGCAACAGAAGCTAATCCACAAGGCAAAAATCAAGTCAAGCAATCCTTTTTTTGTTGTTCTGAAAAAATGTAGGCACTTATTGACATTTTGGAGGAAGCATTCATGCAGACCACGAGCCGTTTTCTCTTTGATGTAGAAAATATTTTTAAAACCCAACCATCATGGAGTGCCACAAGGTTATTTCAAGAGCAGCGTGCTTATGGCAGAGACCTCAGCAGGAAGATTCAATCAATGAAATGTTATGTGCCCACATGAAATCCAATAGAGTGGCCATTAACTTGATTCCTGACCAAACCAACTGATTTAGGTCTCACTAGGATATATCCGCCATATCTCCAGCTTGTTCGGCAAACAGTACCTTAAACAAGTCATAAGGTGTTTATGAACACTGGTAGCTTGATATTCATTTTAAAAGGTGCATGGAAGGTATTTTTCTCTTCTGAGGCTGAATTCACACCCTAAGCCAGGGGTCTTCAAACGTGGCCCTTTTATGACTTGTGGACTTCAACTCCCAGAATTCCTCAGCCAGGCACGCATGCCTGGCTGAGGAATTCTGGGAGTTGAAGTCCACAAGTCATAAAAGGGCCACGTTTGAAGACCCCTGCCCTAAGCTGTGGTCCTCAAGGTGTATGTTATATGAACTCATCATCATGGCTTGGAAAACCTTAGTAAGACTACACTTGGAGTACTGCATCCAGTTTTGATCACCACATTATTAAAAAAAAAAGTTGTTGAGACTCTGGAAAAAGTGCAGAGAAGAACAACAAAGGAGCCTGGAGGCTAAAACACATGAAGAATGGTTGCAGGGATTGGGTTTGCCACGTTTAGTGAAAAGAAGAACTGGGGATGACATAGCAGTAGTGTTTTAATATCTAAGGGGCTGCTACAAGAAAGAGGGGGTCAACTTATTCTCCAAGGCACCTCAAGGCAAAACAAGAAGCAACAGATGGAAACTAATCAAGGAGAGAAGCAACCTAGAACTAAGGAGTTTGAAGGACTGTCAGTCTTGTTAATTGGTCACCTTGTTGGACGGAGGTCTTCGCCACTTACGAGGTTGTGACCTCCAAAAGTTCTTTTCTGACCTGTCGGTAAACAGACTTTGTCATATCCCAGAGGACGAACTCGTCCCACGATCTGATCTTCTGGAGGTTCCAGGGAGGGTTTAGACAATAAGACAATTAGGTACCCTTATGGCTGAGCATGAGAACCAGCTAGCAATGTGAAACTTAACAAACCACAGTAAACAAACTCACAGCTTAGTTTGTTGTGTGCATTCAGCCTTGTCCTCTGTAGTGCGGGACGGTGTAAAGTATGCGACTCTGGAACCAAGGCAGTATTCCCAGTAAGTTCACGTAGCACTGGTTAGAGGCACAATTGTATTTGAAATATTATTACTTGGAGAGCTGGGTGAAAAAGCG